ATGGGTAATTTTACTGTTACTCTGATTAAAATTTAGGCAAAGTAAAGTTACTTTTACTCAATTACAATTTTTTAGTACTCTTTCCACCTCTGATCAGAAGATGCTCACCTCCATCCAGCTGAGGCTTTTCCCTTGCAGAGGTTTCCCAAATCCCCCATAGAAGCAACTCGGACCTGTCGAGAAAGAATCTGTCAACAAAAGTCTGCACAAATAATCTGACCCAATGTCTTTTTTGTCTTTAAATATTACTACAAAATTAATTAACAGATGTGTTCATTTCTTAATGTGTGTTCAAATGCATATGATTAAATAGGCTACATAGTGTAAAAGCATCTCTCATTTGGTGCAAACAAAATTATTCCAACACAGCCTGAATGGTCTGGGCTATTTTTCATTTAATAGATTTTAAAGGGTTCTTTCTTATTTTCCTGACAAATAAAAACCCCAAACATCAAGTATCCTGTGACTTTATTAGCTTTGATCCAAACCCCAGAGGCAGAAGCACAGTTTGAAAACACATGACACACTCAGCAGTAGGATTTTTTTTAAGGCACCAGATGTGACTTTAATTAAAATATTCTCTAGATGTCCTCACACCCACTAAATTTCATTTAATCCACTGATTCTAAAATTTATTACTTTTTGATTTATTACTTATATGTACTTGTTTCCCAGATTTTCTTAAAGTTTAAACTGGTTTATTATAAAACTCTTCTTTCTTTTTTTTCCCTGTTCTTTGTAATTTGAGGACGGCGTATTATTTGACCCTCCTTCAATAGTTGTCAGGTCTTATCTGGAAGCTTCCAGGCTAGAACTGGGCCATTTCACTGCATTTTTATTTTGTATCTTAAAAACTCTAATCGTGAAAGATCAATATTAAAGGTATACTGGATGATTTTCGCAGATTTTCACATGCACAACCATGTACCCGCTCCTGAGAGGGAACGCTTATTACTGTGTGTGAGAGTGTGCACGACCCCATTTCTCCTTTTGCACACGAGAGTTACCTCCCCTCTCGCACACCAATAAGAAAACGGATTGAAATATGAATGAAAAGGCAACTTTTAACCATATTCTTAATGTTTTTATATTTCTTATGCATGTATGCCCTGAAATTGAGAGTTTTGGTGACAGATAAATGCAGAGAAATTCCTGACTGCCTACAAACACCTCCCCTGTCGCGGGAGCGTGCATCTGCCTAAACTCTTGCATATTGATGAGAAAATGGATTAAAATACCAATGAAAAAGGCTAGTCAGGGTTCCTACAGCATAAGGCAAGTTAAATTCAAGACTTTTTAATTCCACTTGAAATAAAAATGTAAGACCAAATTTACAAGAAACACAAGAAAAACCTGCTTGCGACAACTTAACCCAAAGGTTTAATTTAACATAAACCACTGCACTGTTTCAAATTTTGAAAAGCTTCCCATACAGGAAGAAAGCTAAAAACACACAAATGCCAGATATATT